GGCATTAGCTTGTGAAAGGCCTTCTGATCTCCCAAAGTAAGGTTTTATTTTTGCTGTCGAACTGATGTGAACGGAAAAAAAACCTGCTGCTAACGACAGAACAGAAAGTTCAGACCTCGGCTGTTCTAAGAATAACTTGATAAAACCCGAAGAGCACGTGACATGAGTACAATGTTACGCAAAACGACACCCACTTTGATCTTGAGCGAAGTAACAAGCCTGACTGCATAAAAAAAAGGGATGAAAAAGATTTTTTATCATGGGAGCTACAGTTTCACAAAAGTCTGCCCAGCTGTCATGTGAGATAAATCAGGTGTACCTCCTGGTAGTTCACGTTATAATGAATTGCAGCCAAGTGCACCTCACCTTTTGTTCCAAATCTGCGACATATTAATAATAATTAATCAACTTAATTATCCTCCTTTTGCAGACTCACAAACTAATGACTTTCATTAACGCTGAGGTATGCTGTTGATTAAAAATATCATCACTCCGGGTTATGGTGATAGATAAGTGATGGGTGTAATAACTTCCAGTAATATTAGATAAGCTGATGAGGACAGATGGATTGATACAGTAGATATTTGGGGGGGGTGAATAGAGTCTAGACTGTTTAGAGAAAGCAGAGACTCATGGGAAGTATGTCGCCAACTCCCCCCAATCTGGAATCTGATATGAAGAAATCTGTCTTTGTTTGCTGTGTGCGTGTCTGCCTCGCTCTGAACATGTGCCACTCTCTGTCTGTGTATGTAGACGTGTTGTCGTATTTTCAGGACCGAGGCTGTCTATCCCTGGAAACATAAAGGACGTTTAATCACTTTGCAGAAATGTATTCTGCAAGCTACACACTGTGTCTGTAACTATCACAGCTATCGGGCTATCTTAACTGTTAACCACAGAAGCCACAAAGACCTATCATTGCATTCATGCCTCTTAGCTTACTTTATATGGTCCCATAAAGCAAAGGCAAAGCTGCCTTTCAACATATGCAAAGAGGCCCTGCTAGTCTGCCTGCAATTAGTTTCATGCTGCAGCAGTGCAACCAATTGCTGTTGCTTTTAATATAACACTCGAGCAGCTATTTGTCTTATACAGTTGTTCATTTACTAGTGCTAATGTGTTACTTGTAGCATGTGTTTTTTCTGCTTGTTGTTGAGCAAATGTGGCCATTAGGATATCTCTCAAGGTCTGCAACAGAAAGAATGTCTTCATATTCGCCGTCCTTTGTCTTTTCTTATGTGGTGAAATGTCCTTGAAGTTCACATCTTTGCCAGCACCACTTCATATTTTTTCTTTTCATAAAGTGAGCATTAAAAGGCTTTTCGAGACACTAATTTAGAGTAGCGTTGCACACATTGCGGTCCCTCCAGTGACTCAGCAGGCCGTCAGTTCCTTCAGCTGGTGCCCAGTGTTACGTCAGTAAGAAGACAAATTTGCATTTCTATTGTGAAAGAAGAACATGGCAAATGTTCTCAGAGGATTTTTGTTCTCAACTGATGCAGTGAAACTGCCTTTCAGAACCAAATTCGAATCCTTTGATACGTGCAGACACAGGCAGCAACACGTGGACTACCAAGATTTTAGGTACAGTGTAAACTGTAGTTTGTAGATTTGTTACTCTTAAAATGAAATTCCACTGATTATAATTTGAATAGTCTGTGCTGTTCCATGATTCTTTCATTAATGAAACCAAATAATTGGACTGGATTCTGAAAGCTTTCCATCTCTTTTCAGATCACCCGATAATTCAGTTTCTGACCAAATACATGCAGAACTAACGACACATCAACCGAGTGCATCTGCACTTTGTAATAAGCCCAAACACATAGGAAGGAAATTTACCTAAAACTGACTTGTCCTGCTGGACCTCAGTTCAGTGTTCGATTATTATTACAGAGATTATTATTACAGAGAGGATGCTGTAGGTATTAAAGGTACTGCAGTGCAGTAGTTTGAATCATATCTATCTAATAGACTTGATTTTGTTCATATAAACACACTAAAGTTAATTATGGAGTTCCACACGGTTCTAAGCTAGGGCCACTTCTGTTTGCATTACATACGCTTCCCTTGTGCAGAATCATTCAAATACCCAGTTTCATCTGTTCAAACCAGATGACACACACCAATTAGTTAGTCTGCAGGAATGTCTTAGACATAAAGACCTGAATGACCTCTAATTTCCTGCTTCTAAAGATTAAAGGTAATAAAAGCCGAGGGAGGTCAACAGTGATCACTGACTGTTTTAGGAGCTTTTTGAGATTAAATAGAAGAAAATACAAAACATTAAACATGTTAACAACACAAAAGCCATATTAAACGCAGACTACTTTAGGCCCGGAAGTAGGATTCGTTGTGTCATCACTTAACGACCGGATAACTCGAAAACGAAGCAACACAGGATTTTCAAATTGGTACAATACAGGTGCAGTTATTACTGGTGACCTCAAGGTCAAGTTCAGATTTCAGCAAAACGTGGTGGCCATGTTCCCCTGCTCAGCTGTAAGAACTACAGCCAGGGACCCTGATTCGTGTCTCGATTAACGCGCTGAGTCACACACCAGGTTTGTGTGTGAAGGTCGGACCAAGCTTCTGAATAAACACACAGCTGACGCACTTTAATCTCACGTATATTGACACAGTCAAACGCAGGAAGAGGCCATAAACATGAACATTTTATGGCCTCTGTTTCTTTTTTATTTTTTAAGTTACAAGTCTACATTATCACCCTCTCTGTATCATGTCTTGTTTCTCTCTTTTTCATGCCAGTTATCCATTGTGTGTTAAGAGATGTATGACTTTGTGTTGACAAAAGAAGCGATTCGGTCACTTTACTCAAGTTAGTGGATTCGAATGTATGAGCGTACATAGACACGAACCGCGCAGAAGGCTTTCAGAGAAGACTTAAAAATGATCTTTCTCCTGTGACAGCAGGAATGCTGGGAACATTTGTAGCAGACAGCCTCTCAACAACAGACAGCTTTTATGTATTCAATGTCAAACTCACGGCGCTCCTTCAGACTCTCTCAGCACGCTACAGAGATGCGTGAAAGTGCCAGTTGATTTTTGCGATAGATTCCCGTGTGCGCCTATACGTCTGTGTCACACGTGCACGTCGTTCAAGATGTGTCATTAAATGCTTTTAGGACTTCTTCAAAGGAACGCGCAGTCGAGCGGTAATGACAACAGCTGTCTTGGTGCGAGCACACGATATTTTTTCTAGTTGTTTTAGAGACTGGGTGTGCTGTTTTATCCTTATCAAGTCAGATGTGAAGCTCATTGATCTGTAATCATGATTCATAATTGTGTGAAATGTCAAAACACCCTCGGCTGCTGCTCAAACATTCAGTCCTACGTGATTAGAAGTACCATTGTCTGCTGCTGCTGCTGCTGGTGGGGCAGTTTTGTGCTTCTTGCTCCGTCGTCAGGACGCTCTGAACCTGCGGTCCATTTTATTTACCTCAGACATGTACAGACAGTTTTTCTAGAATTGCGAACAGTATATTGAGCTCCCTGCAGATTACACCTAAGCTGAAAACTCAGGAACTTTTAATTCTACAGCTCGGGCATCTTTACTATTAATTGCATAAGCTTCTCTTTATCTGTCCCTTAACTGCAGTTAACTGCATCGAGGTGCAGACGTGTCTGTTCCTGCTGTTCTTAATCTAAACTTGATTGCATGCGTAAACAAAAAGGGTGTTTTTGCTTAACATACCTGCATAAAGTTAGATGCTTCTTTTATTCATTTTTAGATTTGAATAGAACCAGTAGCTTATGTTTTTATTATGTTGGGAAATAAAGAGTTAGGTGGGGATTGCAGGATTACTTTGATATTTGGTCATACTTTGCATCACATTAAGGCTTCCTAGGACAAATATTTGTACATGGAAAGGTACATGAATAATAACATGTCATTCATGCATTGCTCAGGTCGATTTTTTTATCTTTTCAGAAACAGATTAAAAGGGACAAATCATGGCGAAATATAAACTAGAAAGAAAACCAAGTGTGTGTGTGTTCATTTGAAGAAAGCTGGTTAGTGATTTTTCCGTTCAGGACATTTTCAGAGACTGTTTTTATTAGGTCAAAGCACTTATTAAATACTTATTATACATTCATTATTATAAACAGACCTTTTCTGTGACTTGTTTCCAACTTTTTTGATGCAAAACAGGCGATACACAAAAGACGGTGGACAAAAGAAGTGCACAGTCCTTCTGTTCCATTACAAGATTTTAGGTGTTAGTCACATACAGATAGCTTGTAAATGTGTTGTTGTGGTTCTTGATATTGCCTTAAATCTACCAAAACAACTCTACACCTTATTCAAATGAGTCTAGGAAACACTCACAGCAATTTTTAGACGTCACGTTTGCAGGTAAGCATGATGCAATAGGACCGAGCTTTACTGTGTGATATAAAAGGCTAATTACCTATCAGAAACAACGAGGTTTGAATTAGATGGCAGATCAGGTTTTACATCAATGCCAAGGCCACACACACATACAAATATTGTTCCAAGATGAGTGCTTTGAGGTGTTTTGTAGTCAGCCATGATCCTTGTTGATGCCACCGGTGTTCTGGCAATTCTTTGTGGGTTTGTTTGCTACAGCTCATACTCCACAGGGGCATTTTTAGTTTTAGTCTACCAAAGGAGGACAGCTGGAAGCTGAAAGCACACACACAGGTGGAAGTGGCGCCTCTGCCATGGGTCTGTTTCTCCTTTCAAAGTCCTTAAAAGGAAGAAAGCTGAGCAAAAACAAAGTGTGTGTGTGTGATCCAAATCCAGACTTTTAGGCAAAGCCAACTCTCTGCGGCTCCCTCTGTCAAAACCACACATGGACATACAAAGACAAGCACAGCCATCTGCATCCCCCCTGGAGATCTTAGTGAAAAACACTTGTTTTAAAATGTTCTCTGCAAAAAACCTACAAATACATCCATCAGGATGATTCTGAAAATCTGTTGAAACTCACTTGTCTTTCTCTCTCTTTTCCTAGTTCATAATAGAAGATATGAAGCAGCAGCAAACCAACAAACACAGCAACCTGCACCGTGAAGACCAGCACATCACTGTGGAGGAGCTGTGGAGGGGCTGGAAAACCTCTGAAGGTAAAAAGCAAGCAGGTCGACTGAATTAATGTCATTAAAAACACAAAAATCTGCATAACTGTCCCGCATGAGATGGTTGGTACTTTGACACATGTAGGGAGGCTTGCTATAAGTGATACCTGTACTATAATTATAGTGGAGATAACAGGGAGTGAGCAGTTAAACAAGGAAGCACTTAAAAAAACAAACAACCTATTTATCGGGAAGACGATATATACCAGTTTCCTGCAGGGAAACAGGAAGACAGCCGGGGGGGGGGGCAATCCCTAAACAAGTGTCTGTTTTTATAGCACTCAACAGTAGTCGTGCATGTTCACTCCTGGAGCTTCCTGTTTCAGAAATTCATTTAAATTCGATTCAGTTTAATGATATAGTGCCAAATCACAACAACAGAGAAAGCCCTAACAATCACATGACAACTGAGCAACATTTGGCGACAGTGGGAAGGAAAAACTCCCTTTAACAGGAAGGACTTGCTGCAGAACCAGGATCAGGGAAGGGCAGCCATCTGCCATCGTTGGGGATGAGGGGAGGGGGACAGGATAAAACACATCTATATTTATCCTTTATGTTTAATAAAAGCCTTATGCAAAGATTTTTTTAATCTCGAACCGAGTCTTGAAAAAGAAAGGAATTAAAAATATGCTGAAAGTAGACGACGGTGTACATAGGAATGAACTCCTCATCCCATGATGCATTGCAAATCGCAGATTCCACAGCAGCCTTCTTGGATTTAATCATTTTCATTTTTATGTATTGTATAATAACAGTTTTGAATACATGCTGTAGTTTGTGACGTCTGAAGTTTCAAGCTCACTAAGCAATCTGATGCTTGTGGGTTTAGTCGACAGTGACCTCCACCAGTTGGAGAAGTTGCTGTTTCAGTTTAGTAATGTGAGCAGTGTGGTTAAGAATAAACCATGTTTTTGTTACAACATACTGTTGTTTCACAGCGTCGTAGCTAATACTCATAATCAAAACCGCTACGGAGAATGAAATGCTACTTCTACTATAGCAGCGCTGGTGCTTTATTTGGTAATATAATAATACCCAGAACCTTCTTCTTTTGAGATGACTGCGCTAAAGTCAAAAGTGACCTTAAACAACTTCATGATTCTCTGAGACGTCAGACGGACTTCTGCAAAAAGCCAGGACTGAAGGAGCGAACGAACATCTACTGACATTTACTCAAAGAAAACAAAGCGTGAGCTTTTACTCACTCTGCAGAACGTAGAGAAAGTGAAATGAGAGTTTAAGCAAACGCACTTCCATTCAAGAAACCCAGCTGAAATTCTGAGTCGTTTCAGTCATCCTTTATTTGTAATATTGTAATTATCAGGTTCTCAGGGGCAGTAGAAAAAAGTAACGATTTGCCTGATGAAATGTCCTTGTAAATGGCAAAGTGAAGCTGTGTTTACGCCACTGTGTCTCATCCCCTCTCTAATTCCTTTTTTATAACCCGTGACATATGTGGCTTATCTGCAGCCACAGTCTGTCTTCCTCAGCTTGTTTGTGCCTGTTTGTTTATCACGCTGATGTATCTGTGCAGCTAACTGGGTTTTTAGAACAAGTTCTTCACATGCACTCATGTTTGAAGCAAAAAATAAACTTCCTAGATTTATGTTGTTTGAATGCTTCATGCGTCTTGGTAAAATAAAATGTAGGTAAAGCCTGAAGCTTGGTGTCTTATCCTGAATCATTTTTCCCACCGTTACATCTCTTCATTTAGTCACCACAAACTTAGTGTGTGTCCCAACATAACTCTGGGACTGGCTGTGGCCCAGAAAGTAGAGCCTCCTCCAGTCTGCATTTTGAGGTGTCCCAGGGAAAGGACACCGAACCCTAAAAAGTGCTGTAATCGCACTTCGAGTGCTCAATAAGAGTGGAAAGCTGTGCATTATAAATGCCAGTGTGTTTACCGTAACAGCAAAATGATGCAACGGCAATTAATCTCAACCTGGTAATGAAACATATACTCATTTACCCGTCACACAGGGAGGGTTTGTGTGCAACGAGTGCTTTTAACTTTGATGCTTAAACCAGACTGAGCGTGCTGTCGTGCTTTGGGGAATTTTGGAGGAATGCAGAGGAGCAGATAACGAGCAGTAAAACATCTTAGTTACTGATCTGTGTGTGTGTGCTTTCAAAGATAACAAAAACATCTTCATTTTTCTCCTCCCCTCTTTGTTTTTATCAGTCCACAACTGGACCACGGAGGACACGGTGTGGTGGCTGAAGGAGTCGGTGGAGCTACCGCAGTATGAGAAGAACTTCCGGGACTTCCGGATCACGGGGAACACTTTACCTCGGTCAGTACCGCACGACTCAATCGAACGTACCAGCTCTGCTTTTTTTTCTTTTCCTGGGGCAACAACATAATGACACAACATCTGTGGGAATTTGCAGTGTGACACATGTAAATGGAGTCTTTTCTTTTGTCATTTGCTTCTATTGAACACACTGTTTGTGCTACAGCATCTGAAAGCAGCCTTAGCTTTCATTAGTCTGTTCAATGCTGCCCACTGCTGGTTGTAAAAGGCAACACAGCCAATAATAGCACAACTTAAGAGCCCTTGTTTTGCTCTTGCATGAGAAAACTTTCCAAGGCTTGTAGGTTTTTTCTTTTCCAAGACAGGTCATGAAGTCAAACATGCAGCAGTAGCCAAAGATCTATGAATGCTCTTGAACTCAGAGTGATGTCCCTGACTTCTCACGATCTGCTGTGAACCTAATTGTAGGTCGGTGGCTCAGTCTTTTAAAAGCGCTCCCAGGATATGAAAAATTCCCGCACGCAGCGCAGTGAAGATGAAATTTAATGAGCGTCGACATTACAGAAAAATATTCAGATGGACTGTGACTCACTGCACTCTGTATTTACGGCATGAGTAGACCGGAGGATGGTGGGTGGCAGGTTATTGAAGAGCTTCATGTTACGCCACAGAGCTTATAGGAGCTGACTCATGAAGTGATGTCACAGCGAGAGGGGTAGGGTTTCATCAGCCTGCCATGTTGTCTGCGCCGATTAAGACGGTGGTGGCGGCGGCGGTGTGAAGAAGGCGTCCTGGGAGACGTCGGTGTAGAGAAGGATTGAACTCTTTTTCTGTCACCACGTCGAGTGTGTTTGAGCTGAGAGTGTATCACTAACTCTGTTACACTCACAGGCTGCCTAAGAGATGCAAGTCACAAACTGGTTTCAGCGTTTTGGTTGTAAACATGTTGGTTTTTATGGAGCTAATGCTAGCTAGCTTTGTTAGTAATCTATAATCCATAAACTATAAGTAACGACAAATTAAACACACCATTATACAAGTCAGATAAATGCATTAAATGTTCCACCCAAACAGCTGCCCCCTGCCTGAGCCTGCCTCTGATGGAGGTTTCCTCCTGTTAAAATGGAGTTTTTCCTCCCCACTGTCGCCAAGTGCTGTATGGGGTATCGACTCATTGTTGGGGGTTTGGTTCTAATATTGTAGGGTCTTTACCTTAGTTTAAAGCACCTTTCAGTTCAGTTGAGTTTTTCTTATTTAGCTCCACATTCATAAAAACAGCTGCCTCGAAGCACTTCATATATTAAAAAGAAATCCAAACAGTCAGATGCAGCACTTGGCGACAGTGGGAAGGAAAAACTCCATTTTTACAGGAAGGAAACTCTGACACAGCAGGTATCTGCTGCCCCGGCTTCAAAAAAGAGGGGAGGGGAGGGGCCCAAAGACACACTGCGACAGAGAGAGGCAGGGTTTAATAATTACAAGATGACCTTTAAGGTAACTGTTGTTGCGAAATGGAACTGAACCCTAACAGGCACCAGTAGTACAAACACAGATGTTGATTAGCTGCACATGCGCGTGTCAGCCCACCTGTCAATCGAAGCTATTTCTAACTCCAGTATCCAGATAAATTCAAACAAAAAGTTATAGACATAAAGGGAGGAAGCTATCTATGGAGGTCAAGGCTGTCTTGTTTATCTGGCTGTAAATATGCTTTTTAACATGGGGGTCTTATGGGGAAACAAGCTGGGCTAAGTGGCCAATAGATAAACTGCAGTTTTTTGCTGTTTTCGTGTTGTGTCTTCTCGTCTAGTGTGATGTTACTTAGCTGAGTCGTTGTTAGGAGCTGCTGTTGTAATGGGTAACGTTTGTGTTGTTAGGATGAGGTCATGTGAACTCAGTCATTGTAGTTTGTATTGATTTTATTTCATTTTTAATGTTTCTCTTCAGCTCAGTGTGGCTTTGGCTTTTCCTGTTGTTTAAAGCTGCTTGTGTAAGGTTTAGTTTTTATGCAGAGTGTGTTTGTGTGATGTTTAAGAACTGCAATGCAAACACAACTTCACACTCATGTGAACGCCCCGGTCTCAATAAACATGTGCATCACGTGTCCCTCTGAATGTATCGTTAATGTTAAGACTAAAACAAACAGCAATTCTTGTATGATGTTTCAAATGTGTTTTTTGCCACATCTAGTTTTAGTTCGCTTTGAAAACTTTGTTTAGCATTCAGTCCTGTGTTTTCTTCTTCCCCGTTTTAGAATAGCGGCAAATGAACCGTCGTTTATGTCGATGCAGCTGAAGATATTAGACCAGCGGCATAAACAAAAACTAAACCTAAAGGCGCTCGATGCAGTGCTGTTCGGCCCCCCGCTACGTAAGTATAAAGCCGCGTGTCATCACACTTCATGAATATCAGTGGAAAATGAGCTTAAAGAAAACGTATGAATGCATGAATCCATCACTCTTTCTCCTGCTCGTCCTTCCCCGCACAGGTCCGCAACATAATTGGATGAAAGACTTCGTCCTGATGGTGTCCATTGTGATCGGTGTCGGGGGCTGCTGGTTTGCTTACGTGCAGAACAAGTCCAGCAAGGTGCACATCTCACAGATGATGAAGGATCTGGAGAGCTTGCAACATGCTGAGCAAAGCTTGTTAGACCTGCAGAGTCGGTAAGAGAGGGACGTGTATTAGACTTAGATGAAACACTGATTTAATGGTCACGTGCTGCCGCTCTCCTTTCACAGAGAACAGCAGCACGGTGGTGCAGCAGTTAGCAGTGACACCGCTATGGGCTGAGGCATGTTCTTCTATCTGTCCTGGCTTTGTATCACTTAAAGACTTGTTATCACTTGTTTTCATCATGCAATGACTTCAATACAACAACGATGTCACCTTAGTTGAACACCTTAACTATACCCTTAACTAATTAAAGCCTGAACCATGAAACAATTTTCAGAAAATCAGAGAGAAACATGAAGATGTACTTAATTCTTTGTCATCTAGAGCGGGTGAAATCCAAACTTTGTTTTTAAATCATGTAAAACTTAAACCGCCTACAGCAGCTATTCCCACAGGCAAGAGTGCTACGGCCCACTTAAAAACCAGAAAACCCCACGGAGAGCAGCCAAACTTCACTCTAATCAAAATACAGAAGAAAGTGATAAGTGATTTTATTCCAAAAACATAAACAACACAGGCTCTTGGCTATAAATTCCTAATGGTACCAAGTAATAGGCAAAGTTTTTTAAGGTCACCTGCTGCTGGGACACAAACTTCAATAGAAATCAGTCAATTTAGGTCCGAATAACGAGTAATATCACAAACTAACCACCTCCTGTTACCAGTTTTAATCCACTTTTTATATAAATAAATATTTTAAATATAGTGGATTTCTGTTATTACTTTGGCACACCTGCAGTACCGATGCGGTCCACCGTGGGGCTCCAGCTCACACTTTGGAATTCATTGCCCTACAGTACTTATAAAGTCCTTCTAAGCATACAAATACCCCCTATTTCTTCTTCTTCAGTTGGCTGTGTTCTAACCTTCCATCCCAACCACACGAACCCTCTGCATCCCCTCCGTCACCACATCCATGACTTTCCTCTGTTCCCGTGTTCCCATGTTTCCGCCTCACCGTGTATCCTTCCCGTCCTCTTCCAGGCTCGAAAAGGCTCAAGAAGAGAACCGGACAGTTGCTGTGGAGAAGCAGAACCTCGAGCTGAAAATGAGGGATGAGATTGACGGGGCTAAGAAGGAGGCTCACAGGCTCCGAGAGCTGCGAGAGGGCGCCGAATGTGAGCTGAGCCGGCTCAAATATGCCGAGGAGGAGCTCGTACAGGTACGGCTCGTTGCCCCGGAGTCCTGCTCGCAAACAGATTTATTGTTAGTCAGAGTGAGGGAAACACAACCATAAAACTGCTACTATTGGCTGTTGGCTGCAATGTAATTTCAGATTCTATGGCGCCATAAGGAATATCCAGTGTATTCACATATACAACAGTCACATTTATTATCATTATGTAAATACTGAATTGTATATTCGATTCAGAGCATGAAATAAAGGGATAGAGGCGAAAATCTGGGACATCGCAATATGCGGATGTAAATGTATTCATTACTGTGGCGCAAACAACTTGAAATGAAAGGATTAATTTCATATTTTCCGCATTAAATTTTCATTTCTTCCATAAAACACCTACTTTGCATATCCTCGAGATTGCCTCATTTCCCCTCACATGGAAATACAGCACCGATATATCTCTCTGTAATGAGTTCTCTCCGTGCAGGCGAGCCAGGATTGGGCTCATTTACACACGGCGAACGCAGGACTTAAACAGTAAATGGAGTTCATTTGAAATTCGCTGAACGCTAACCTTCACTTACTGATGCGTTTGATCGATATCCTGTGGGAAAGGGTGCTTTCTTGTTTGTTTGTTTGTTTTGTTTTTTGGCAGCGAATCTGATTGGCCTCTCGCGTATCGCGCTCTTCCCCGTGTAGGTACGGAAAGCTCTGAAGCGAGCGGAGAAGGAGATGCAGTCGGAGCGCTCGGTGCCCGAAGCTCTTCAGAAGTGGCTCCAGCTCACGCACGAAGTGGAAGTTCAATACTACAACATCAAGAAGCAGAGCGCCGAAAATCAGCTGTGCGTCGCCAAAGACGAGGTAACCGGCTAACTTTTGATAGGTTATTGCCAAGGCTCAAAAGATTACACGAGAAGGACACGAGGTTCTGGACAGAGAGCAGAAGCTGCTGCTGTGAGGATGTGACCACTAAGCTCTCCAAAGGTTACGTGCTGTGATTTGGCATGATATCACACATCTCATGAAGTGTTAACGTTTGGAAATGACTAAAAGATCAGCACTGGCAGAGATTTTAAAACATTAAAAGAAGGTCTTGTTGCCTGTTTGGATTACTTAAAGGAATGATGTTGGGGAGAAAAAGCCATTTATATTATGGAACTGCAAATCTGACTGAGCAGGACACACTGCTACTACTACTAAACTACTACCATTACACCAGGGGACTTTTGTATATCTCTTTATTACAGTGGCCCTGAGAGTTCAAATAGAAAGCACCAGCAATCAGAAAAAGCTAAAGGGGAAAAAACGTGAAAGAAAACGTGTTTTTGGGGCGACAATAACCTGACGGACCAGCTGAGGAAGTGACAAGCTAACAGTAAACAGCTAATAGCAAACATGTATCTACAGTATTATATAAATCATGTGATTGAAGCGCATGCTAGCCCACAACAACACTAATGAATCCTCTGCTTCTTTTAAGCGTGTCTCAGTGCGATATGTCACATTCTGGTTTCTGTCAGTTCTACAGCTGATCCGTCAAGTCACTGTGTCCCCGGAAACGCTTGCTAGCTATTTGCTTGTGGGTTTTTTGAGCTGCAGTGCATTTGACCTCTCAGGGCCACCGTACTTCATCTCAAGCACTGAAGTCTCAGCAGTGCGTTGCATCCTAGCAGGCGCGTAACTACTCTGTGATGTTTTGCCTGGTAAATAGTGAAGAAATAGGACCAAATGATTCAGCACGTTTTTCTTTGTCACCTGCGTCTGGTAGAAGCTCATAGTGGACTGGAGCTGAAGATCCTCTCCATTAGATGCAAATAGACATCAGTGAATGAGTTTACATCAGCTACATTAATCTGGCTTACAGCAGAGAAAGATTTAGTGCAGTGATCAGCCTTTTTAGGTAAAGATGCTGTGTTTTTTGTTGTTGTTGTTGTTGTTTCCACTCAATTTAACAAAAACTTGGGAGGGAGTTTATGTTCTATCATATTAGCTTCTCTTAATCGGCTTCCTGCTCTTTTTTCAGCTGCTTCCTTTAGCTGTCTCATCCTATCCCCAACATCCTCCTCTGTCACAGCATCTCTCCTTCATTACATCCAGGAATCTCTTCTGTGGTCCGTTTTTGTCCATTTTATCCACTATCCCTGCGCTGCACATGTCCAAACCATCCCAGCCTTGCTTCTTTAACTTTACCTCCTCTGACTCACTGCTAAGAACAGAATTTGATGTAAATGTCATCTTTTTTCTTTCTCACATGTCTGGGGTGTGTATTTACATCACATGGTGTATAAAGTCCTTTGAGATGATGGTTGTTCTGAACTGTCAATATTAAAAAGAAAATTCAGCTGATGTGAAGCTGAAATTCCAGCCAAAGTAACTCTATGTTTTCCCTATTTCAGGCAGAGAAAATAAAAAAGAAGAGAGGTTCTGTGTTTGGGACTCTTCACGTAGCCCACAGCTCGTCACTGGATGAGGTGGACCACAAGATACTAGAAGCAAAGTAAGAAAGAGAGACTCTAATGTGCAGATTACAATAAGAAATATCACCTGATATAGATTTATAAGGAGGCATTTATAACAGAGGTGCTGCACGCTTCATGACGTGATCATAAAGGTAATTCAACAGCTAAAAGTAAACACAGGAAGAGAGGATTTGTTTCAGCCAGGTGTGATCTGGCAGTCAGGAGTACAGACAGTCGGTGAGGCTTTCCGTGCCTTTTTACACCAACGACGACTTTATCCTTGGCAGCTTTGCTTTGTGTGGGGATTAAATACTTTTGTTTGAGCCATCAGAGCGCTCAATGCATTTAAGAAAAACAGCTCTACAGTGTCGAGTTCTTGCCTGCTTGTGTGTTTTTTGCTCGTTTTGTCTTTTTTACCACATAAAGCTTTTACGTTCATGGGTCGATAAACACAATGAGATGTATTTAATATATTCAGAGCTCTTGGAGAAGCTAGGTAGCGCCACTGAGGTAAACAATTCATCTGTGTTCAAAAGAGGAAGATCAAGCGTGAGAACAGAGCGAAAGTGTTAGACACAAGTTTAAATCCGTAAGCCCTGATGGATCAAAGCAAAGTTGGCATCTTACTGAGTCTGACTGGGGAATGTTGATCGGTAATCTGAAGCAGAATAAGCTCAGTGTTTGCATGCTTTTCTAATTTAACTGAGTCTGATTTATTCATTCGTTCGTCTTCATATTAGGAAAGCCCTGTCGGAGGTAACGGCGTGCCTGAGGGAGCGGCTCCACCGCTGGCAGCAGATCGAGAAGCTCTGCGGCTTCCCTGTGGTCAATAATTCGGGTCTGCCGAGCCTGACCGCCAGCCTTTACTCAGACCACAGCTGGGTGGTGATGCCGCGAGTCTCGGTTCCCCCCTACCCCATCGCGGGAGGAGTGGACGACCTGGACGAGGACACGCCTCCCATCATTCCACAGTTCACAGGTGAGCGAGGCGGCAGAGCGCGCCGACGCTTTGTAGCCGCAAAAGTGGCACGGCATAAATATTGACGTCTCCGTTTGCCTCTCCTCGTTCGTCCTCCAGGGACTACGTTGATTCGGCCCGCACTGACACGCAACAGCAGCATGTGCCGTTCCCGCCGGAGCCTGCTGAGCTCCCCGCAGTCCTCGCTGATGTCTGCAGACCCAGACCTGCTGTCCATGGCGAGCTCGTCCCTCTCTTATCGCCCCGAGGCGGACGACGACATAATCATGTTCAACTCTGAGCGAAGGGGGTATGTGTGGCGATGTGTTTGTGTGTGTGAAGTTTTTCGTTTGCAAAAGGACTCAAAAGAGAAACATTTTACAATAATATAAGGAAAAACGATCATACTGTCAAATATAAAGACTCTCATATATTTGCTGAAATTATAGGAATGTACCAAAGAGGTAAACTTGAGGGGCAAGCATGAATGCTGGCAACAGTGTCGGCTACTTCCTTCAGTTAGCCTCCACAAAGATTCACCACAGAAGTCAAAATGAGCCGTCAAACGTCGGTGGGATACAGAAAAGTTTGTTTGAACTGCAGATTATGTCCATAGACCTGGAAATGCTGAAATTGCTATTTTTTTGGTTCCAAATAGTGTTTAAAGTCTTAAAAGTTGCTGTTATTGTTTGTTTTGTTTTTTTAATTCAGAGCTCTCCCGTGGATATACAAGCCACATTAGCTGTGCAACATGCGAGCACCAGTGATTTTAGTAATGGATTTGGAGGGCAGCCAGAAGCACAACATTTGCTCTGTGTTCTCTGAGGCGGATACAGAGTTAGCAGTAGGGGCTCCAAAGAGCAAGTAACTGTGGCAGACTGTGAGGTACCGCCTTGTTTTATTTTATCAGGGCGTGCATGCTCGGTGCATGTGCTACGTAGTGATGCCGGTAGGTCACAGGACAAAAGCCTGGACTTCAAAATAAAGTGTTACAGGGAGTTCAAGTTCTATGTTTCCTGTGAGAGAGAATAAATCCCAGATGAGGACTGTGGAATTGTAACATCAAGGAAAGGAAAAAATACACCAACATGTGATATCCCATCAGACATTTCTACGCTGAATAACCGTCCTCAACATTTAGTTACGGCTGAAAAATGGTTCCAAAGGTTGAACTTGTGTCACAGACGTGGAGTCGAGGTACTTCTTAAACGGTGGCTGGACATCCCAGATAGAGACGGGCTGTGTTCAATAAATATTTTCTCTTATCTCTAACTGATAAAAGAATTAATAAAAAATAACAAGAAGGAAAAAAGTCACAACTCTTTAGTGACTCAGTCTGACAGTGTGGGTGCAGCATCTCTGTGCAACCTCTTTCCCAGTAACACCAACTCGGCTCACCTGACTTGTCTTTTAGGGGTTTCCATTAGGTGGTAGTAGCTGGGAGCCAATAATCTGATTTATATTTCTCATTTTGTCAGAGACAGTTTGTAAGAGACCCGACCTTCACTCTGCACTCAAACAACGTCGACATCCGTCTGCGGTTCGGTTCTTGGGGTCTGAAACCCCCGACACCACCTGCTGTGGTGGTGACGGGGAGTTTCTATCATGTGCTGGGATGTTCACTTTAAATCTGGCAATAAATATTTGTCATTAGGAAAATGCAAAAATGCAAATAAAAGCGTCTGATCCAGGATCACAGAATGTTCTCAGGGGCGCCTTTCCTCAGATGATTTTAGTATCGCTGGAAGACGAGAGAGTGGATATTTAAGGTGATTCAGTGCCGTGTCGTCCAGTCACAGAGCAGAGACAAAGACAATGAGTCCATCAGGTGATCAGGCAGCAGAGAGGGGAAGTGACTGAACATGGATGCAGGCGCATTTAGAGAAAGGCTAACTTTAAAATAGCACATATAGAAGATGTTTTTCAGTGTTGTTTATCAGTCTGTGACCAGCCTTGTCTGCTCTCCTTTAATAGGGAGGCGTCTCAGGAGGGCAGCTCCGACACAGACTCTCTGAGCTCAGTGGGCCGCAAGTCGCTGCACAACCCCTGCTCAGCGGCCTCGGAGATCCCCTACCGCAAGATCTCCCGCGAGGAGCTGCTGCTGTTCACCCAGACCGCAGAGCGCCCTGCATCCACCACCTCCACCACCCACACCAGCAGCAGCAGCAGCAGTCTCAGGGACACGCCTCCTCCTCTGCCTCCCACCCCGGCCACCACACCTTCAGGCCCGCCCTCCACCTCACCTTCCCCGGCCTTGGAGCACCATCAGTTTGCACAAAGAGGCTCGCCCGACCTCACCCGCATCGTACCCGAGTCCCAGAGCGGACCTCTGGGGAACGTGACCTCTCCGACGGGCAAGGGCATGTACAACGGCATCCTGGAGAAGTCCTACAGCTTCGGCCAGCTGCCGGCAAGCATGCTGCCTAATGTGGGGCGCCAACCGTCTCTTACCTCCCTGGACTCGGAGGGCCGGAGTCTGGGAAGGGATTACAAGCTCCAGAGCACGTCCTCCCAGGACTCCTGCGACAACGGAGAGAAAATCAGGCGCACGTCCTCTAAAATCAAAAACATATTTAAAAAGAAAAAATAAAACTTGAGTGTGTCTGCGTGTGTGTGAGTGAGAGAGAAAATCAAATCTTAAAAAGTTGTTTTAGCCCTAATATTAAAACAATGGACGTCACTGTAAGCTAAAACATTTCATTTTCTCTCTTAAGTTCTTCTTTTCGTCATCAATGATGGAATGTAGCTCAGCCTGGGTGCCTTTAAACGCCTCCCCAGGCTGATAGCCTTATTTTTCAACAATGCTTTTTTATTTAGTCACTCACAGGGAAACCTGCAAAAGGTCAAGTCAGCGAAAAGGTCAAAGGTCATACTTGTTCACTGTCTTCTCTTAATTTTATCCCGAGTTTGAACCAAAAAGCCACTCATGTCAAAGGATGTAAAAGGTGCAGTCTGTGTATGTTTAGTGTTTCACTGTCGACGTTGAGCACAGAGGGCGAGAGAAGGGAGGGGGGGGCTCGCTGTTCCTACCGGGACGCTCGCTTTCAGTGGCGACAGCGGCACACGAGCAAAGCCCGGAAAAAACAAAAGGTTGTGCAAACCATATTTCGTCCGATTCCTTTCTCACGCGCCCCGACTTACTTCTTTCCGATCAAATGATGAAATTGCATCTTGCAAAGTGTTCGAATCCTAAACGTGTACTTGACTAATTTCCTTTGATGGGGGGAAAAAACAAAAAAAATCCTGCTAAAAGTTTGTTGCACTACTGCTTTCCTGCTGTTCTGGGAAACAGCCGCTGCTCGCGGAGGACATTTGGAAATCAACACAGAGATGAGAAGAATGCACGGGCAGCTGCACTGAGGATGCAAGCGCATAATGCCAGAGCCAAAATTATGTGATCGGTCCCAGTGCCACTGTTTATGCTCGTCTCCGTATATAAATATATATATATATCCGTACTTTGTTTTCACTTTATTATGTTCTTACAAATGTTTTTAAGTGGATTAACGGTGGCGATGATTTGATCTTAATGAATATGCAGACTTAACTCACACCAGTCACTTTCCCTGTACTCTAGCCTCCCCGTTATTACTTGATTACCTGCTTCCTGTAGCCATAAATAAACGTTAAACGTACATTTCTGTTTCCAAACTTCTAGATTTTTGGTCAGATTGACTTTAAACATTCATGCTGTATTTAAAGATGCACAAGACAGTCGCTATCAGCGTTCACAGACACTACACAGCGATGATCATCTGTTCAGGAGAACAAAAACAACGATAAAATAAGAGACTTTCTGATCTGGATCTGATCAGTACACCAGTCCCCGCCTCTCTCTCCCCACTACCCCCAACCGCCACCACCACACACTAAGCTCGAAGGTGACCCACGCAATACGGTCCCGCTCCTCACCTCTGGGCCCGCAACCGAGCGCACTGATGTCAAAGAGCTCCTGCTTCACACTGTGATTTCTGGCTTCTTCCCCTTCATCCCGGACCTGGCTGTCACTGCTGCAACTCCACTCGACCGGGCGCGTGCCTGCAAACGCGATGGGGTGGGTGTGGAGGAGGGCGATGCCACGCACGAGGTTGCGTCTCGAGTGTCAGCACGGCACAGTGAAGCGAGTGTTTTTAAATAAATATATGTTTGGAAGCTTGTGGACGAGGCAGCACACGATGAAGGAAGACAGGCCTGCGAGACGAGGAGGACACGAATGTTTACGAGACATTAGTTGTTTTTTTGTTTTTTTTGGAGAACATTTTCTGTGTGAATATTTGTATACGGTAGAAGAATTAATAAATAAATAAAAAAATGGAGGCATCGGAGATGTTTCAGTGTCATGTTTGCAGCAGCGTTTCATGTCTCCCCTCACCCCCAATCGGACGTGGCAGATGGCTGCCCCTCCTTGTGCCTGGTTCTGCCAGAGGTTCCTTCCTGTTAAAAGGGAGTTTTTCTTTCCCACTGTCGCCAAAGTGCTTCCTCGTCTGATTGTAGTTGTAGGTTTTTTAATCTTACAATATACTGTTTTGAATTGGTGTTATATACATAAAACTTAACTGAGTCACACAAACACAGGAGAAAACCTAAAAATCCTACGCTGTCACTATAAATAATGGAGGTTCAAAGCTCCTGTTTTAAAAACAAGAGCAGATGGAACGAGCAGGCAGTGTTGCTGCTACCTGATCGAAGCACCTGGAGCTCAACAAGTAAGATTCTCACTTTCCATAATGATGGCTTTTGAGTTTTGAAATCATTTAATACAGATGGTGAAGGCCAGGAAGGATGGCATCAGAGTTATTATAAGGCTGGGAGTGTTTTTCTTGATCAGCTGATGGTTGAAATGATCAATTATCACCCCTCAAAAATCTTTGCTGAACTAAATCGCACCAGCATTTTGAAAGTCTTCAGCATAGATCTAAACCCACCCAGCTGAGCTAAAAGTTTGACTTGTGACTTCCCACAGGAATAAAACCTCCCTGATCCGGCTTTTTTGAAGCCCTACATCCTCCTCACAGCGGTACACCGAAGTGCGGGGTGGTGGGGGGAAATATCATTCTGACACTCCCATTTGTCTTGCGAGTCGGGAAACGGTGAAACACAGAAGAAAAGCATGCATGATTGCTTTATCAATATAAAGTGAACGTAATGAAACTTGCGTTGATGGTTCATCAATTTGGCACACCAGGAGAGGAGCGGGGACGTCTGCTGGTGATGAATGTGTTGTTTGGGTGCTACTGTACACAGAAACAAACCCCAGCCTTTCACACAGGCCTGCCTTTTCTTTCTTTCTTATTTTTTTAAGCCCCCGCCCGGTGGGATGCAGTTGCAGCTACACCCACATGGTGTCAGCAGAGCACCAGGAGAGAAACCCCTCAGGAGCCACTCCCTAACGGTGAAGTGTGAGTGTCAGTGCAGGCTGGTGAATGCTGTGAAGGACCAGAGTCAGGCTTGTTTCTTTTGTCAGATGGAGCACGCACAGAGAGACACAGAGGAAGCTCCAGACCCCGTGAATGTGTTTTGATCTAACGGCTAATCTGATCATCTTTTAGTTCACTGTAATTTGGTATAGAAGATTGATTCTGCACTCACTCTGCGAAAATTGGCTTCCTATACGGATATAGTGCCAAATTACATTTCTTGTAATAAGTGTAGAAGCTAGATGCAGTTCAGAAGCTTCAAATTGCATGTTTGCAGTAAAGTATTACCCCTGTTCCAAAGGTGCACCGATACTCGACTAGCTGCCCAGCAACAAAACAGCAAAACACCGGGAAACTAAGTTCTTATTAATGAGAAGATGAGAGGTGAGCCGATGAATGAGGACAGACACACTGACAACAGTTTCCCAGTAAGATCTCTGTGCTGGTATGTCTCGGCCTGGGCAGTTTAGCAGTGCTGCAGGATACACAGCTGTTATGCAAAAGAATGTGCATGTGTGAATATGTAATATGTGTATGTGTCCACATACTTTTGAACATGGATGCTTGTGGATGCACGATGCAGAACCAAACCTTTGAGACCAATCTGGAGCGAGATGAGGTCAAAAGTATGTGGACACTATTTTTTAAAGCCATTTTTACTTCTCAAATATTCACTCCCAAATCGTGACATTGCTCAAACACAGGAGGCTAGGTCATCTATTCCCGCACCTCCACAATATTTAAAGCGGTGCGTGACTCAGCTCGTAGTTTCTTTTCTTTGCTCCTTAAATATTGCTGCATTCAGCTGCTTCTTTGTCCCATATTGTCTTCCTACTTTCCTCCTCTCTGCTTCCTCTGTATCCTCGCAGGAGCACTGCAGGTTGGGGGGGACACATTGCGGATATTTATGGCCCCCCAAGATCGGCACTGCAGTGTTGTAATTGGCCCCACAATGACGCTAATGCTCAGGAAGAGGAGTGTTGTGTACGGGAGCAGAAAGTGATGCAATGCTCTGGCAGAAGATGGCAGATCCTCCCCTTAATGAATGCTGTTAGAAAAGGTAATGAATAGACGGAGGGCTTAAAGGCACACATACGTAAAGGGAATGTGTATCAGCGAAGCTTTTACCCAACCTGCCACTGTGCTATATCTCTCCCTCCTCACTCTACCATTCCTCTCTGCCAAAATCAGCCTCTCTCCTTTCTTTATCCCCATCACTCAACTCTCTCTCCCTCTCTCGTTTGGATCCCATTCCATTGCGGTGTAATGGGTTTATTAGTGTGGTTAATGCACTGTGACCTACTGGGGCTTGCCGTCTACCTTTTTCCATCCACGGAGAGAGAGAGAGAAAAAAGGGTTGAATGTTTTTTAAAAGGGAAGCAGAAACAGGAATGAGCTATAAAAGGGTCAGCATTAAAGGAAGGGAGAAAGCCCGTTTTTAGGAACAAACTCACAGTAAAGAATGAAGTAAATGAAGACAAACTAACAGAAATTGTTCATCACTTTGCCAAATCCAGTAAAAAGGAAAACAGAAGCTGTGAATGCCGGGTGCAGCTTTGCGCGCGCTCTCGACCATTATACTCGACAGCAGCAGAGAGACGTCCTAAACAGCCTGGGATAGTCAAAATTGATAGCTGCCGTGTTTACCCAGACTGAGGCAGACAAAGTCAGCTTTGGAACCAGACGTGCTCCCTGCAAATTAATGTTTCTGCTCCAAAACTCTGCGACAGAGACCTGCAACCAGTTTGTGGTATAATGAAGCCATTTCAGGTGGGACCGTGGTGTTCTCCTGTCACCAAGAGTGGAGCCAAAACAGATTTAGAGAGCGGAAGGGCTTCACCTGCGAGGGGGTTCGGGTTCATACAATTACAGCTATCAGAGCACATTTTCAGGATCTAGAATTTAATTCAATTCAAATTTAGTTCAATTCCATTATGCCGCAATAATACAGAGAAAATCTGAAAAATGAAATAACCAACTATGAGCAAGCACTTTGTAACAGTGTCTGGAAAATAACCTGACTCTCAACATCAGCAAAACTAGAGAAATGATAGTGGACTACTGGAAACGACCAGTCAGGGAACACCAGCCCATCCACATCATCGGTGTCAAGGTCGAAAGGGTCAGCAGCTTCAAATTCCTTGGAGTCAACATCACTGAGGACTTCTCCTGGACCCTTCACACAGACACTGCTATCAGGAAAGCTCGCCAGCGGCTTTACTTCCTGAGGAGGCTGAGGAAGTTTGGCGTGAACGCCAACATCACCTCAAATTTCTACAGGTGTGCAATCGAGAGCTTGCTGACGAGCTGCATTACAGTTTGGTACGGAAGCTGCTCTGCCAGCAGCCGTAAATCACTACAGAGGGTGGTGAAGGCAGCAGAGCACATCACTGGCATGAGGCTTCCTGCCATTCAGGACATTTATCTTCAGCGATGCCTCCGTAAAGCACACAGCATCATCAAGGACCACAGCCACCCAGCACATCAGCGCTTCTCCTTGTTACCATCTGGCAGAGTTACAGGAGTCTGTCTGCTCGGACTACAAGACTTAAAAAAGTCTTGTAAAAAAAACACCAGTTTCTACCATCAAGCTAACTTGCATATGACAAATAAAACTGAAAACAGTGGGAAGGAAAAACTACATTTTAACAGGAAGAAACCTTTGGCAAAACTAGGCTTAGGGTGGGGCGACCATCTGCTGTGATCAGTTGATGATGAGGGCTGGGAGACAGAACAAAAGACACATTGCACACAGAAATATTTTTACCTGGTTCTGCCGAGAGGTTTCTTCCTGTTTAAAGTGAGTTTTTCCTTCCCACTGTCGCCAAGTGCTTGCTCATAGGGGTAGCCTGGTTGTTGGAGGTTCACCTGTGGTTACAAAAACTGAATTGAATGGAAATAACTATCGAAAAATGAATTATTGTTAACTCGAAAGGTATCATTTGTAGTGACAAACTCTTCGGGGAACTGTTACCCAAATCTGCAGTTTGTACTTTTTTGTGTCTTTTAGCTCATAGTTTTGGTATCGCCACCTTCAACTTTCCTGTTTTGACTTCCAAAGTTTGCACCATTTTTCCAGCACATAGTCTGCATAAAAACACAGCCATGTCTTACACTGTTTGTGGGCCATTTTAAAGCCAAAAGTTTGGCCTTTTTACTGTCATCCCCCAAGAGGCGGATCTGAATTAATACTCAGGGACACTTGTAGGCTAATAAAATGACATTTTATTAGCCTAAATTATACCCATGGTTTTAGTCTAATCAGGACGATAACTATCAAAAAGAACATCCTGCTGAATTAAACCCTTATGTTACAGCCACACTAGGAAAAAACAGCGGTTGGAGACCATTGCATGATCCAAATTATGCGACTGTAAGCAATGAACTTGTGGTCTTGCTGCGCTTGAAAGAACCGGTTCAAATCGATGACTATATATGACCACTTGCAGTCAGCTGCAGTTTTCAAAGCATCTGCTATTGAATGAGGTCAAGCCGGCAATTAAATCCATTCTGGTTGTCCTTCCTGGTTTGGTGAGGTTCCTATCTGATATCGTAGTTGTAGCGTTCTGGTCTGGAATCAGAATTATTATCCAGACCATGGATTTGTTTAGACTGACAAAAGCTCTTGGATGAGAGTCCAAGTCCACTTCCCTTTGTCTCAAATTCTTAAGACTACTACAACCTCTATGACCGAGAATCTATGGAGACAAGGCAGATTAGAAGTGTCCATAAAAATAGAAATGCTGTTCTCCTCTTTACATTAAAAGGGATTTTTTTCTTTCCAAATGCTGCCAAGTGCATACTCAGAGGGGGTAATCTGATTGTAGGGTTTCTTTCTAATATTGTAGTCTTTACCTTACAATATGAAGCTCCTTGAAATGGAGCTATATAAATAAACCTGAATTGAA